CGCCTTCTGCAGGAACTGATGTATCGAATTACCCTTTCGCATCTTCAGGTCCCTACGGTGTCCTGAACCGTCCCAGTAGCTGAAAGCAATGTTGATCGGCTCCTTTTTGATTTCTTCCTGCCGTTTCATCCACTCTTCTCGCAACTGTTCTCGTAGCCTGCAGAGCGAAACGCAGGTAATGCTCAGAGATATTGTATATTCATTATTAAATAGAACGTATTACAGTTAATAAAACGGCAAAACTAAAAACAGGATCCTGCACAGAATGCTCACCGCAGCAGCTGCAAATACTGGTAACGAGGTCCCGTTGAAAGTGATCACGAAGCATATAATGAGTCACATGGATAAGACAGACTCTGCAGAAAGGCGTCTGTTGAACAATTCAGTCGTAAGAGGTCAGAATTCACCGATACACTGGTCCTTGAGTCGTGAGTCGTTTTACAGTCATATGAAAACAACTGCCTGCATACATGGACACGTCATTAGCTTCAATCCTGTTTTGGAAATGCTGACGTTGAATAGTCTAATATCTCACTAATAGAATGATGCCTATCGCGAGAATTTACGATGCTCTGGTGTAGTTGTCCTGCTCGTATTTTTCTACGCCTGTCATGATCGTAAATCAGTTCTTACGTCTGATGTGATTTGAATCATCACAGCCGAAACCCATCTCTTCCTGATAATTTGTATCTGCTGGATCTCCATTACTTTGTGGCCTGTCACTCAATCTTTTCCAAAAATCTTGTGTCGCACAACGAACTGTGATGCTGATGCACCATTTTTAGCAAAATGCGGCAAGTTTTATGACCTGATTTTAGCTAAGGGAAAATCACTCGTGATCCCAAATTAGATAAATTCCTTCAGCTGCCTTTCTGTCGTCGCCAATCAATTTACTGTCGTGACTTCATCCACAGCCAACGGTCGAGTATTATTTTGCATGAAGAAGAATTTGATATAAAGTAAGCATTATTAATTAACAGGCATATTATAACGACAACGAATCACATTAAGATAAGCTTCTACTTTCGTCCAATAAACTACAGGCAAAATCAGAATGAATGCATCTATTCACGTTAATAAATGAATGAATGCGTAACAAATTAGCCATAGTACCTGTTTTCTTCTTCTTCTCTCTCTTTGTCAGGTAGGAAACTTGTATCGACTGTTGGATCTTTAGTGATTTTTTTCTTTTTTGGTGGCTCTAGTGGTTCAGAATTGTCCTCGTTTTCTTCTTCATCAGGATCAAACGACAGCACACACTTCTAATCATTAGCATTAAGAGGTCATAAAGTTTCATATTTATGCGATATTGGCTTCATCCTAAAAGCCACATCACTATCGTCGAAAAAATGAAGGAGCAAAATAGGAAACTGACACCAAAAAATGGTTGAAGTACGTTCTTTGGTCAATGAATATGAAAAACGGTCATCAACTCCAAAACTGAGTGTAATCAATATGATGCTACTTTTGAAGCAAATCTATCTGAGAGCCCTAACTAACTAAAAGCTGAGACGATAGGGTTAGGATAACCATCATTATTTATCCCTGAATAAAGCATTTACTTAACTTTATATAACTGACATTTATGAATCAATGCCATAAGTTAAATTTTGTTTCAATGGCACAAATAAGCAAATATGCATGGGAGAAGTAGGAAAAACATATCAGACGCTATGATATCTACAAAAGCTGTTACGCACCTTAAAACGGCAAAGCTGCGAACACAGGGTTACGAATTGCAAGGCTAAGCTCATAGTCGTCCGTTCTTTTCTGACTATAAGTACATCTGATTCTCATCTTAAAAAAGCATCTCCAATGCAGGGTTGGGTTGAAACGGTATGGGGTTTCGAAATCGTTACTAAGTAAAAATGTATGGGGATGAATTGGAATACACATGGTTGAATGGGTACGGGAATGCACTTTGTGAACCTTCGAAACGAATACTGGAGTTTCGCCAAATTCAGATCGAGTTAGTCACCACTTTGCCAATGAGAATAGCACCAGTCAGTAAATTAATCAGACAGACAGTCAATCATTGAGTTTCGATGATCACTTATCCCGTCGGATTGCGGACGGGACATCATTCATCGACATCAACTGCTTACCCGCCGCCTCTGCTGCAAATGATGATCCGCTTCTTCTTGGTCCTTATTTTTTAATTCAGGTTCCACTTCCTTATGCGCAAGCTGTTTTTCTCGCTCTTTTATAACGTCCTCCTGCTTTGCTTTCATTTCATCCAACGTCACAAGACCTGTATAACAGTTTTAAGTGATAAGAAATGGTGTTTAGACTGTTAAAAATGGACATTAATATAGCTAAAATCCAATTTTAATTCATCGTTCTAAGACCATATTTCATTCCCGATTAATAGCAAATTAATAACAAACAGCATATTGACCATTTCTAACGGTCAAACAATAAACTGAAATTACCGTTGTTTAGGTTCTGTAAGCCTCAGATGACGATGAGAAAATAAATGATAACAATATCACTGTACAAAACTTGCAGTTACGACGTCCCAAGTGTTGAGTCTTTTATTGTTACACAATGCTTTATATTTTACAGAAATACAGGTTTGTGCTGATAACAAACGTTTTTGCCTAAGCCACTCGTTCTTCGGATAAATTTCTGATTCTTCTACGTAGAAGCTCAAACACATCTAAGCAAACAGGATATGCGACTATTATTCATCACGAATGTCGTCGAGAAGCTGTGGAGAACTTATACCGCCGGTCGATTAATCACTGGAAGGTCGGCGATTCGATGCCTCAATACCAATTAACTCAATATCGAAGTTGGAGTTCAAACGTCCAAGTCCAACCATTCAAACAAACTCTGAACACGTTATGCGGTCACGTTTTCTGGTCATCGGAAAACATTACAAAGGTGAGTGACAACGACGGTGACAACCATTCAAGATTACCGACAACTTGTGTCGCTGAAATGGACATGATATTTAGCATACTACCGCAAAATTATGCAAATTGCTGCTGCGAACCACATGACGGATAACATGAGAAAAAAATGAAATGAATTTCAAAACGATGAAATGAATGAGACATGACAGTCACAGTGGAAAGGGCGACACTTACCTACGGTGCTCGACTTCAGTTGCTGTTCAACTGCGTCATAATGGGCCTTGAATTTCTCGCCAATATTAATTAAGCTGATATTCTCTGCCTGAATTTTCTTCTTCTGCTTCTCAATATCTTCCTTGTGCCGCTCACGTCGTTTGGCGATGTGAATCAGCCGGCCGGCATCCGCAATCGAACCGGTATAATTGGCCATAGTGAAAGTTTCAAAGCAAGCACCTGAAAATCACGCGGATAGAATAAGAGGTTTTAAAAATTTAATGAAATAAAAAAATAGTGACAAACTTCGCTGATCCGAAAATATTTCAATATGTGTACTGTACGTAGCACATATATTTAAGAATAAAGATTGCTATGCCT